AAAGAAGACGCGATCCACTTTTGTGGCTCTTTGTGCGTTTCGAATATCGGATCGTTCCATCCTCTCTGTTCACGGTTGAATGATGTCGAAGCACGACGATCGCAGTATAAGCGTTCCACCCTAACGAGCGGCTTTAATTTCTGCCCTCTTTCCACATCATTTGCCGTAGAGGAGAGTTTCGACGAGAAACACGACTCGACCCAAAACTTCCTCTCTCATCGAATTATCTAGCTTGTAGACAAGTTGTGGTACAAGTTGTATAGACTTCCCTTATTAATTATTATGATATCATCGATATCATCGATTCTGTATATTATTGATAATTTGGTAATATAATTTTCTTTGTTTATTGCATTCGATAAAATGTCTGTCGATATGAGGAGGCATTTGTTGAGAATTACGAAAGATTGAGAAATTCTATACACTTTTGTAGTTGAATAATATTATTTTCTACAATTTTTATTAGCGATATTTATTTCTCGAATATTAGTGTCACCGTTCAGTTAATTATATTGGCTTGTCTTTTACAAGAGTTAGTTTAATAACATTTCTTCGCGACGAGTTAGCAACCGAGGCGTCAATGAAACGAATTGACGTTTATCCCTCATAGGCACCCTTTATTGACAGTATTCGGTCTTTATTGCATAACGATGACCCGCGGTCGCAGGTGCGCGATGCCGATCAATCGTCAATAAATTTGCGTCAGGCGATATTAATAACGACTCCTCTCGCGTGGCTGTCAATTTCACGGGAGAGACAAAACTTGGTTCATCACTGCGGGAATATGGCGCGCATGCAGAAGCGTGGATTGGGTAGCGAGGTAATAAACTGGAATAGAATTCGTACATATAATCCTCTGCCTCGTAAAACGAAACGATTCAACTCTACTCGAGGCCTCTGAAATCTTCGTAATCTCTCAACTAAAGTTTCGACCGGTCGGGAGAACGCGTATCCAGAAGCCATCCATCTCGAAAAGCAATAATGGTCTTTCGCGTCCTCGATTTTCTTGACAGCCTATCACCACGGCCAATATTATTTTAGTGACGTTACATCGCGTGTTTCGCATCCTTCCGTCGCTCGTCGTCGTTGTCGTGCGAGAAAATTGACCTACCTATCCAAGGATAGGCAATCGCCAGTTCGTATACGGCGAGTGACCATACTAGGAGATAACAGGATCGGGTCTAAAATTGCTTTCGGTAGCGACTTTGAAGCTCAGATTTTGATCGCAAATTGTGCCGTTAACTTTATCTTTAATGTATATCTTTTTTATCGAATCGAAAAGGAAGATACTGTTTTATATTCGTGTGTACGATTAAAATTACATTTTTTAAATTTAGTTAATAAATATTACACATTTAAATAAAGCAAACAAAATTATACTACGAAGGGAAAAAATATATTTTTTCTCGCTACACTCTTTTCGGTGATTAATTATGACTTAAGACACTCACGACGTTCGACGTTTATTCATCTGATAGCCGGTGATCAAGATGCGAACTCGATGAAGGGTATCGCGAAGTTTTCTTCCTCGACGATATCCGTGACCGAGAGCTTCATCGGGCTCTGCAGCCGGCGCGTGAGATTGGTTTGTCATCCGAGCGAAGCGCTCCATCGTTTCTAGTATACTCGGCTCTCATGGATGATCTTGAGACAATTCCGTGCGGATCATCGGGCACGCGTGTATCGCACGGAAGATTGGTCTCTCGGCGGAAGTGGAAAGGACGAAAGAAAAAAGAAAACGAAAAGAAAAACAGGAAACGAAACAGGGGCTCGCTTCTTGGATTTAAGATCTCGACGATTCTCGAGAATAGAGAGAAAACAACTCCGCGATCCGCGAAGTTGAAAGAACAGACGGCGGGATGCTTCTTCAAGGAGGGGTGGAGAATCGGAAGATGAAAACAGGGGATAGAGTGAGAGACAGGGAGAGACGGGACGCGGTATTCGTGAATCCTAAAAGTTACGGGGCTTCGAAGCGAAAAGGAGGGGAGGAGAGTAGCCGGGCCATAATCCATAAATTCGCGGAAAATATAAATAATACACGAGCACCGGATCGGGCGGTCGGCTCCGCTGTACATTGGTCAGAGGATGAACTTCTACCTCCCATATTCAAGGAAAATATACGGGAACCGAGTCCCTTTCCACGACTCGTCTCCACCCACGAGTTCCTCCCCTCCTCTCTCTCTCTCTCTCTCTGTGATCGCAGAGATATGGATGAGAGCTCCTGTTCTATACAAGAGCTCCTTCTTATCGCTCTTTGAACGATATTCCGCCTAACAGCGCGTACTCGATGTGTGCCGGGAACATTTGCGATGCACTTTCGGAAGATAAACTGCGTACGAGATGTGCGTCATCGCGGAAAACGCGTCCTTCTAATCGCGCTCTCGTGAGATCTTTTCTTTCGTTTATTTTTTTAGTTGGGGATAATTCGCGATTTTCTCTCCATGTGTCGTATACGTGCATAAATGGTTTTATATGTATACATACACATATATATATATATATATATATATCAATTATTCCACGTCCTCGCCGTAGATCTCGATATTTATAACTACGGTGTCGTCGTCTTCAAAATACACCGCTTCAGCTAAATCAGGGTTTTCTTGATATTCATTATATTTAGTGAACATACACATATATATATATATATATATATATTTTTTTTTTTTTTGTATTTTGCAGGAAGCCCTGCATAAAAAGCATCGTTAAACATTGAATAAGTAATTTTCGTTGAATTTACAAAAAAGTAGTAAGCAATGCCATCGTAAAGCAAAGATTGAGGACCCCACATTTGCTATTTTCATAGGCGGAAGATGCAAATTTGCAACTCGCGCACACATCTCAAAAGAAAAATATTTTAAAGTAGATAAAAAAAAGAAAAAGAAAATATTGATGCTTTGTAAATTGGATGTAATTGATTTAGATTAATCAGCATCTTTTCAGTCATAGGATAATGAAGTCTCGGAGCTTTTTTGTTCTATGATTCGAGAAGTGACCGCGATTGAATCCACGCAAGACGCGCTTCCTTCCGCTTCGTCCGGTCATCTTTATCGTCTTTGATCTTGCATTCCGTTTCGAGAATCCCCAGTGGTGGTTTTCCTTACGAGTTATGAGTTATCTTCCGCGTGTGTGTGTGTGCACGTTTGGCTATGCGAACACGTCACAGTTGAAGGCTCTCGCTGTCAAAGCTCACCTGCAGATTTAACGGAGTGCGTCACCGACCGCGACTGCATAATGTAACCCATAATTCGTGAATAAATGCAGCGACGGTATAGCCAGTCCGATAAATATTTCGTTAAGCTCTTTCACGACACACGCGATGTTCTTGTTTGACGGCGAATGTCAACGACAAAAAAACCGTGACTGTATAATGAATGAAGAAGTCGTAATTGCGCAAAAGCGAATTTGTATAACTATAATAAATATTTTATATTTTATATTTTTGAAATAAATTATCGCGCGTGTAAAATATCAATGGGGTAATAATGATGCAATTATTTAATAAAGTAATCTGTAAATAGATATTGATATATATATATATA